GATTTTGCTTTATTGGTCGCGCTCGGTAGGCGGATTGACGATAGCAGTATCAGACGTCTCGCAAATTTCGTGCGAAATATACGAGACGTCTGATACCTTCTCGTATGATTGAGTGTGTGAATCTCACACTACAGGCAGTCTCCGAATAGGGCAATGCCAATCTTGTGAAATTCAACGCCTCCAAAACACAAGCGTGTCTGTTCACTGCAAAAATAAACCAGGTCACCTCGGCTCCTTCTTTCCGAATTGTATCACTGGAATACACCAACCGCCTTCAGTTGTTGGGGTCGAGATATCCTCAGATCTGAACTTCGGGTGGTTCATTAAGTCCAAGGCCAAAGCAGCTGCAAGTTAGCTAGTAATCCTTGCAAAGGCGCGGCGATACTTCACACCGGGCCAGCTGCTTCTTACATTATATAAAGCGCAAATCCAGTCGTGCATGGAGTATTGCTGCCATATATGGAATGGTGCTGCAAAATTACACATAGCAGCTTTGGACTCAATGGAAAGGCGTGCTAAGAAACTTATTGGTGACCCGAATTTGGTTAAAATCAATTTTACCAGCCTCGAACACAGACGCAAAGTAGCCAGCCTGTCGGCTTCCTACAGGATGCATTTCGGAGAGTGTGCACAGGAATTGCATAATTTATTTAATTCCCCCCTCTCCCTTCCACCATCGGACAACCAGTCGTACGGCCAGCCTTTCTTTGTTGACTTACCACACATTCGACCCAAACGGTTTTTTACATCGTTCGTCATGCTTCTCGACTGGAATAACTTGCCAGTATCTTTATTTCCATCCAATTACAATGTGGGAGTCTTCAAGGCAAGAGAGTTATCGTAGGCTACATCACTACTTACTATAAGGTGGGATTATAGTTAAGCACTGTCTAAGAATAGAAAAAAAAGAAGGAAATCAACATATTGGCATGTGCAATATTCCAGAGAATCTTCCATCCTCCAAGAAGTCTCTTCTTTGCCATTCTTGTACTCCAGTTGTTCACGTTTCAACTTCAAAATAAAAACAAAGGAAACACTAGTGGTTTACAGAAAATAATAAGAATAATATTTTTTTATAGGATAGGGTGACAAACGAGCACACAGTCCACCTGATGGTAAGTGGTTGCTGTGGCCCATAGGCATCTACATCTATCCTCGTTTGCGAATCAAAATGCAGATACGTTGTCACCCGTGAGGACTAAGATGGAATACCGCTTTTCCAGTAAAAAGGGTCTCCGGATCTCTAATTCTCTGATTTTACGCTGGTATTCTGTGAGAGCGTGGTCCTTCCCCGGTCGAGCCGATTCATTTGTGCTACAACTATACTACTACTATAGCTGCAGCATGGCTCTACCACGTACAGATATAGATATACTAGAATAATGTAAATAACTGTTGTCCAAAGTCATTCACAAATAGAATAAAAATTCTTCATAAACCTCATCTATATGAATAAAAATATAAAAAGGCAAATTATATAAAACTCATACGTGATGTTAAATAAAAGGTAAAGTTTGAGACGTTGGAATTTTCTTGAATATAATTTATTATAAATTTAACTCAAAACTGTCCCGGAATTCTTCCGAGGAATTTAGAGGAGATAAGGTTGAAAAATTTAATTTTCCTGCCCGGTGTTAATAAATCTCTTAGTCGGGCCTCAGTCTCGCGTTACCCTAATGCGATATTTATCGCCCTACTAAAAGAAATAAACTTTTCTCACGTAATATATTTATGTCTATAAAATAAACAGAATTATCGTTACTGAAAAAGTAATACAAAATACTATGGTAGCATGGAGTTGGTTTAAAGTGGTTTGGCTTGAAAAATAATATTTTCACTTTATCAATTAGATATATAGGTATAATCATTTAATTTTCGTGTAGTGGCGCCGTAATACAATACATTATCTCTTATCATTTTAAGAGGGGACGGAGGGATGGTGAAACATGACATGAGCAGTAACATCTTCCTAACAATAGTTGAAAATAATAAAAAACTGTGGTTGCCAACCCGACTGGCATATGTGGCGTCTATAGCAAATGTCGCCCTCATTAGACAGTCTATACCCGTAGTTCTGTATTCAGAAGTGGAGTTTTGATAGGCTGCAATTAATAAGTGAATAATTATATGAAACAATATGGTTGGCCTCTCTGTTGACATTATATGAATATTTTGTTCAAACATTTATACTGTTGTTTTATTTAATGAACTTAAGCTATTGTGCAAGCTTACATGATTTCCTAAATGTAGCAGCAATAAAGGTTATACGAGTCTAGACTCCATCTAGTAAAATAGTTTTTCATTACGTCTAATCACTAACGTAGTTGTAACTTTTAAGGTATTTGTAACAAAGCTTTTACGAGAAATATATTGATAACGTCTGAGGGAAAGACTAAACTGCTAACTATTATTTTTCTTTCGATGTATGTTTGAAAATCGTATTTAAAAACTTTGTAGTAAAAATTGCAAAGCTATAAAATATCATGCGATATTCCGTTCGCACAATTTGTTCCACTACACATCACCAACAGCGCTTTGACACAGGTTTTACTTAAACGAAGCATGAAAACTCGCATCACAAAGCGCATGAAGAGTCGCCTTCTCAACTCTCGTTATAAAAGAGAGGCATCAGCAAAACTGTCTTTGAGTCAACTTTCGCCAATTAAGAAAATAATTCGAAGTACTGTTATAAAGACTTCGCTGTTATATACAATAATGTGCCTTAGGTGCATTAATGGTATAAATTTATATAGTTCATAACCTGTACTGCGATTGTGTTATTCTGGGTGGAAATAGTACATGTTCGTGATACACACAATCGATGATGCCGTGCCTTGTGCCAGTCTTTGGAGGCGGTATCGGGGAACACTTATGTAAATACATCATCTGCAAGTCAATTATAAGATCAATAGAAAAATATAGTCAATAGATAAATAACGACGGATCTATTAGCGCAGTGCTTAATCGTTTGGTTTAATAGAAATATAAAAAACTTATATATATATGGTTTGGCGTGGCGCTATGGGGTCGCGGGTTCAAATCCCGCTCCGGGTGTGTGTCCTTATGCTATTAATGTACGTAAGCCGCCTTATTACTTACTATTAATTTTGTTGCATACAGAAATAATGAAATTAATGGGAAACAATTGAGTAGTGTACCAAGATGTAGGTAATGGAGATAAATTTTTTTAGGTGGTAGAGCCATGCTGCAGCTATATTAGTTGTAGCACGAATGGGTCGGCTCGACCGGGGAAGGACCACGCTCTCACAGAATACCAGCGTAAAATAGCAGCTTGACGCTGTTGTGTTTCGTATGGTGAGTGTAGAGAACCGGCGACCCTTTTTACTGAAAAAGAAGTATTCCAAATTAGTCCTCACGGGTGACAACGCATCTGCATTTTGATTCATAATCGAAGATAGATGTAGATGTTTATGGGTCACAGCAAGCACTTACCATCAGGTGGACTGTGTGCTATATATATATGATGATGGAATGTTTGATTGAGAGCAAAATTTACACTTGAAACCAAACATTTCTGGTATGGGAGATATTTTTTTTAAATAAATGTTAATTTACTACACTACTATATAAAAGATCAAGTCCTCCGTTCCTAAAAAAAACATTATTACGATATTTTATGCGGTCGGACGATTAGACTAAAATGTATCACAAAGATTCGACACACACAATCCACACACAGACATCCTTTTATCAAAAGATTATTCTCGTGATTTGTACTATCTTAATAATAATTCCAAGTAATCTGTTATATAATACCATGACTTAGTTTACCGCCAGGAAAAAAATAGGATGTAACTGGTAAACAAAATGGAAGACTATGGAATAGATATTTTTGAAATTTATTGTAAAAAATAAATACTACTAATTTCAAGTAAACTTTTTACTGAGTGGTCGGTTCAAAGTCCAGGACGAACAAATGTAGGGCGCTGATTTGAATTTAGTTATTTCTAATTCCTTTTTCATTTGTTTAAAAAGAGTTTACTTTTAAGAAAGAAATTTTAAAAACATCTATGCCAAAGGCTTATACTTCGTTCATCTATTAAATCGTATTGACATTCCTAATGGTAAAAAGGCATCCTTATTTTGTCTAGCGGCGGGCCTTTTAAATTACATGAAAAATTTACGTAATAAGTCTGTGTGATTATCTATTATACGAATTCTTTTACGTAGAAACGCCCGTGAAATGTAATACCTTCTTGGTTAAGGATTTAATATATAGATACATCAATTATTGTGTGGGTTTCGTAAGATTCGACAAAGGGAAACCGAAACAGGAGATGAACAGCAGTTTTTCTAGGATAAAAACTTATTAATAATTAAAAGGCTGCGGTTGCCAACCCAACGTAAGCTTGGCAACTATAGCAAATACCCCCTATGAGGCAATCTGTGGGAGATACCTATTTTCAGCAGTGGATGTTTGAGAGGAACTACAAACAAACGTTTATTTTCTTTATTACTCTGTATTTTATAAGATTACTAGCTGTCCCCCGCGGCTTCGTTCGCGTGGAATTTATTACGATTGGATTTCATGGGTTTTAATTTTTTTTACGTGGAAACCTAATTATTTTTCTTAAATAAAAGTAGCGTAACCTACTCCTTATAATATTAACTATCTGCTAGTGAAAGTTCCGTCAAAATCGGTCCAGCCGTATCTGAGATAAGCCGGAACAAACAGAAAAACAGACAGACAGACAAAAATTTTAAAAATAGATTTTTTTGTTATTAGTACCGTATGTACTTCCATATGAATTTAATAAAAAGCTGTTATTTTGATATTACAAACAGACACTTCATTTTTATTTATTTCTTTAGATTTTAATACATTTTATTTAATTGTATACAGTTTATTTAAGTCATGGGATTTATAGACAACATTTGGTCATCATTTACAAAATCCAATTTGGGGAATGCCTTAAGGACATTTAGATTTTATTACACCAGATGACCCTAAGTTAACATTTTTAATTATTTCCTAACAGGTTGCGGTGGAAGGGGAACGACTGCGTAGGTTACGCGAGCGTGTCGAAGCTCAGGAACAGAAGTTAAGGAGGCTCCGGGCTCTTAGAGGCCAGCTGGACCGAAACAAGCAAGCGAATATTGCTCTCAGTAAGTATTTTAATTTCATAAGTAGCAACGAGTAAGCGATTTTGGCGTTCCTTATTTTGTGTAAAATAAAAATTTAAAATAAAATCATTTACTTCTTTACTTATCAATAAACTAGCTGTTCCCCGCGACTTCGCCCGCGCGTAATTTATTACGATTGGATTTGATGGGTTTTCATTTTTTTTTTGTTTACAAACAGACACTTCAATTTTATTTATTTGTATATATATATATTACTAGCTACCCGCCCCGGCTTCACCTGGATAGTATCCGTTAATGTGACGTTATTTGGACATGAGGTAATCAAAGGCCATTTATATTTTGAAACTTTTTGCGTCTTTTAAAAAAAAATGGCAAGTATTGTCAACTCAAGATAAAATATAGCCTAGATTACACTCCTGGAATTGCTCTCTATCTGTTAAGTTTCAGCACAAGTTCAATCATTCCGAAGGTTAGCCTAGACAGCCAGACAAAAATTTAAAAAAATGCTTGTTTATGTCTTAATAGCATACAAATAACCATTAGCTTAATAAAAGCCAGTGATTTCAATATTACAGACAGAAACTTCAATTTTATTTATATTTATATCTAAATCTATACAAATAAATAAAATTGAAGTGTCTATTTGTAATGTTAAAATAACAGCTTTTTAATAAAGACATATGAATGTATATACGGTACTTATAACAAAAAAAAACAATTTTTAAAATTTTTGTCTGTCTGTCTGTTTGTTCCGGTTAATCTCCGAAATGGCTGGACCGATTTTCACGGGACTTCCACAGGCAGATAGCTGATGTTATAAGGAAAAACTTAGAATACTTTTATTTAAGAAAAAGAATTAGGGTTCCGCGCAAAAAAAATTAAAACCCATGAAATCGTAATAAATTCCATGCGGGTGAAATTGCGTGGGACAGCTAGTACATAATAAAATAATAAAGGGCTCAGTTGCAGCAAATTTAATCCGTGCAATGAAAAGAATTGCACCCATAAATAAATATAATTTATTTAAAATTCGCACCTGTGCACGTACTAACTTTTTATTACATATCTACTTTTCAACCGTGCTCTCCACTGTATCATAACAAGCGTAATACTTGTTTCAACATTTCATTCAATATCCAACTATTGAAGCAAATATTGAAATGCGGCATGTGCAACCGATTTTTTCTGTGTGTTGACTAAATTCCAAAATAAACAATTTTATTATAAATTTTTTATATACAGTCCACCTGATGGTAAGTGGATACTGTGGCCAATAAACACCTATGATTTATTTGATTCTTATCCTCGGTTAAGAATCAGAATGCAGATGCGTTGTCATCCTTGAAGATGAAGATGGAATGCCTCGTTTCCAGTAAAAGGGGTCTCCGATTCTCTACACTCACCATAGGAAACACAGCAGCATTGAGCTGCTATTTCACACTGGTATTCTGTGAGAGCGTGGTCCTTCCCCGGTCGAGCCGACCAATTCGTGTTACAACCACAATATAGCTGTAGCATGGCTCTACCACCTTGCTAGTAAACCACACTTCGACGTATCTACATCTGATCTGTTTTACGATGTTATTTTTTATTAAATCACACTCGAGTGTCTTCACATATCTCGTGTTAAAATAAAAACCTGACTCTGGTCATTTACATTGAGTAATTCAAATTAATGTGCCATTATAGACAAGAAAAGCCTCATAAAATTATACGACTTTTGAGATATGTAAAAAATTGTCGGTTCCGAACGGGCTTAAATTAAAATTTCTTTATGTTTTACTAACAAAGTTAAACAGATTAGAAATTCAACAACTTCGTTTTATTATAATATTATCATTATAAAATATTCAGTATTATTCAGCTGAATAAAGGTATTGGAACTAAAGTTTGTAACGTTATTAAAAAAAGCTGCACTTCTGACACATTTGGCAATTTTATTAATGACAACATTATACAGTTATTTAGCCATTTGTACTTATGCCATAGTTATCCGTCGAAATGTGAGACAATTTGACTGTCGATATATCGAAGTGTTTGTACAGTATTGCTATAGAACCTGAGTACGAAACCGTGGTAACAGTTGTCAACAGTGGTAGAGGCACGCGGCAGCTTTTGCTGTCGCACGGATGGGCCGGCTCGAACCGGGGTGGTACCACGACCTCACAGAAAACCAGCGTGAAGTAGAGGTTTACCTCTGCGTTTCGCTTGGTGAGTGCAGGTGGCCGGAGGCCCTTTTTTACTAGAAATGAGGCATTCCATCTTAGTCCTCACGGGTGACAACGCATCTACATTTTGATTTGTAATAGAGGATAGATGTAGATGTCTATGGGCCGCAGCAACCACTTACCATCAGGTGGACTGTGTGCTCGTTTATCACCCTTATCCTATGAAAAAAAAAACCTATCCAACATATCAACATATCAGACAGGGTGACGTTATATCTCCAAAACTCTTCACCGGTGCATTGATTGCAAGACGTTTTCAAGCTACTGGACTGGAAAGGATGCGGTATTGATATTAATGGCGAGTACATCACTCACCTTTGATTTGCCAATGATATAGTCCTTATGTCAAAATCGCTGGATGACCTAAGCACCATGCTCAATGACATCAATAGCGTCTCCCAACGAATAGGACTTAAGATGAACATGAACACAACGAAGGTCATGTGTAACGTCGATGTCACACCTATGCCGATAGTTATTGGGAGCACTAAGCTCGAAGTGGTCGACGAGTATGTTTACCTAGGACAAATAATTCGACTAGGTAACTCCAACTTAGACCGAGAAGTCAATCGACGGACCAACTCGTTTAGGCAGTGTTCGAGAGATTAGGACACATCTTCTCGTCAGGTATACCACAAAACTTCAAAATGAGGTTGTACAACCAGTGCAAGTGGCCAGTGATGACTTATGGATCTGAGAGCTCAAGATTGTGCATCAAGCCATTTATCTTAAAGAACCGACAACCGATGGGAAAGAAAGGTTCTCAAGTGGCAGCCTGGTGGTACTGGTAGACGAAGTGTAGGGTGGACCCCACTAGAGGACGACCTGGTAAGACATGCAGGAAAGTCCATGAATGGAGATGGCTCAGGGCTGTGCTTTGTGGCGTACCTTGGAGGAGGCTTATGTTCAGCAGTGACCTTCTGAAGTACTCTAATGATGATGATGATGACATAGTTATTTCTGAAAAATTCCTTGAAAAAGATTGAGCAAAAAGTAATATTAATTTTAAATTCTTAATTCGTTCGGCGCAAATAAAATAATAAATACCTCTTTAAAAATTTGAGTCGCAAACATAATTTTGAGTTTTACGTAAACATATTGTTGTTTATAATGACTTTAGTTCCCGAAATTCAAAGTAAACGGACGCCATTTGGCAGGAAACTTGTCGACGTTAATCAGATAATTAATGCTAGTGCGCCCTGTGGGCCGGCTGCAGATTAGCTATTGAGGTTTGTATCAAATACATACCTATAATATTACCTTCTTATGTTTTATAAAACTATAGCCGACATTTTTATAGAAGTAATAGTGACAAACGAGCACACAGTACATGGGATAAGTGAATGCTGTGGCCCGTATAGTTTTAACCTCGATTATGAATCAAAATGCAGATGCGTCGTTCCCTTGTGGACTTAGATAAAATGGCTCGTTACCAGTAAAACTATCTCCGGATCTCTACCTTACCATACGAAGAACAGCAGTATCTATGAGAGCAGGGCCCTTCCCCGGTCGAGCTAATCCATTTGCATCGTGACTATACCACGTATACATTTTAATATTTAGGACATTTAGGAAAGTATTCGGTGCTAAAATTAGCTAAACGTTTATGTACCTTCGTATGTTTACACACTTACGTTTTCCTAATAAAGGTGTCTAAGATATAAAATACCATAATTTTCCAAAAAACGTAATAACCTCTACAAACTGTGTATACACCCTGTTGATTAAAGAGGCTCTTATGACCTGCCGATGACGGAAAACCATGTCAATAAAATCGAACTTCATACCCACGGACTGGTAATCACTGTCATCATTACAGCCTATTAAAGGTCCACGGCTGAACATAGATCTCTCCCATAGATTGCCTTATTCATTAATTCATACATTAGAGTCTATCAAAAGTTCACAGCTGAACATAGGTTTTCTCCATAGATAGACGCTTTATAGGGTAGATTTTGCCATAATTGTCGGGCTTGGCTATTGCAATCTTTAATAATTTCGGTTGTTATCAGGAAGATGCTGTTGTTTAATTTTCGTCTACCGTTTCTTATTTCCCTCTGTAGCTACGAAACCATGAGATGACATAATGACGGAGTGGTATATGTGGTGAATATGTGTATATTACATATTTTAGAATAATACACAGTAAATTAACCTATTTGTTATGTAATACGTATAATTCATAGGTCAGTCGCAAAAATATAACTTAGAGTAAATGCCAATTGGAATCCATTTATGTATAACTTATTTGTTTAGGCTCTTTATAAATTATTGACCTCTATACCATCAATGAAAATTTTATGGTATTGTGGGTTAAGGAAGAACTAAGAATTACAAAAAAGTATTAAATTCTGCAAAGGTAATTGAACTTGGTAAAATTTACTTGTGATCTAAAAATATGTATGAACAAAAATGCTAGCATACTTAATGAAACGGAAAAAGATATAAGAAAACTTTGGCACTATTTTATCATCTGTGCAGGTATGGAATAACATTGTTCCACATCACTGCTGGGTAGAGACCACTGTCACACAAAAATACGCCATTCTGTTTAATGTGCTCTCGCTTCAACGGTTAGGTTTGCGTATTCGACAATAGTCAATTGAAATACTTTTTGAGACCTTTTAAAAATAAAAGTATGTTTTTAATTTTTCTATTTGTATAAATTTTATACAAAAATACATAATTTAATTTAAAATACAAAATTAACCAAATTCAACTACTAACTGCAGTAAATTCTAATTATATGATGTATATAGAGTAATATATTAATCATTATTTAATGATGCTGTC